CATGAGAGATTAAACATCGGAAAGAACTCAATCAACGAATCATAAGTAAATCTTACAAGTAAACTCGATACTATATTTTATTTCAAAATATTAAAACATAAGATTTTATGAGGTTTTTATACTTATATATCACTCAAAATATCAAACATGAAATTTTTATTCACATTTATACACCGATACTACTTAACTCAATCTTTTCAAAACAATTTGTAAAATTAAAAGAAAAATACTTTATCTTTCGTCTGCATTTGTCGATTAATCCTTTGAATCGTTAAAAGATTGAGAATTGTCAATTAATTTTAATATAAATATTAATTTAATTTAAAATTTATGAAAGTTTCATAGGTGAGAGAATTATTCGATAGTTCCGTTTTGGAAGCTGAGAAAATCATCTCTCACTTATTTACACTATTTAACCTTATAATTAACCAATTGACATAGAATCTCCAACAAAGCTTATCACGATCGAGAAATGAAATGGCTTTTGTCAAAAGAATTATCTAAAGTCAAATCACTTAATCACAATTAGATGTATAATATCATTAACTTAACATCAGATTGTGACACTACTTTTGGTACACGCATTCAGTCGCTGGGCAAAAATTAATGCACCCCTACGTACGCACGAACCTTATGTACTTGTTGATTAGCTATGTCGCAACCCCATGTCATTAATTACTGGCTACAGCTCCAGTACCTCGATGAAGCAACGGAGAAATCAGAAAATTGAAACATGAGTTTGCAAAATTACAGAACTACAGTAAGGGCATGTCCTTTTCTTTTTATTTCTTTCTCAGAAAAGTTACCAAACAGTGGTGATCATGAGGTTCCAGAGGTACTCCATGCATATGTTTGTAAGGTAGCACTATAGTAATTAATGGTGGATTCAGCTTCGAGATTTTAATGAGTCGTACATGCTACTATAGTAAAGGGGAAGAGAAGGGACCAGGGGATATTTACGTGGCAAAGTAGCTACGAGTCTATTATGGAATTGGACAGTGATGAGATGGATAATTGGCTATGGTAATCTAGCTACTACTAGTACGTGTTTATACGTATTATATTCAAAACGTCATTTATACTTGGGAATTTTCTTTTATCTTTATTCCTTCCATCTTAAGCTAGACTTTGCAATTAAAAATTTAAATCAATAATCTTTTTCTAGCTTCTTTATTACACCGTCTGAGGAAGACACTTTAACATGTGTCAAGCTGATGCTTGTTGCTTTATATATACAAGTCAGAAGGGGTTTAGATGCCGACTTGTCATAGATTGTACCCACAGACATAATAGGACCCATTTATTTATTTATTAAAAAAACCATGTTTTTATTAGAAACGCATTCACTAAAATTGTGATGATTAAATAATTTAAAAATAAAATAAAATTGAAGTCGTAAAAATCTGTAAAAATGTTTATATATATATAATCCTATAAATGGACTTATTTTAGTTTATCCATAAAACCCTACTTCCATCACTTGCAACCTTGGGAGACAGTTGCATTGTTGTTTGTTTGACAGCAAAACTGTATATGCTTTTCTCACATAAGATAATAGATTCGTTTGGAAACACTTTTATTTATTTTTCTCAGTTTATTTTCTCTCTATATTTTACCATCTTCTAGGCTTTTAACAGAAAAAGAATCCTACTGCAATATCTGTTTTCACTTAATAACTTGAACTTTTGAAGTAGTTAATATATATATATATATATATATATATATATATATATA